TATATGATGGAAATTAAGGTATCCAAGTAGTTGTGAGATTTTTCTAGTTTTTTAATAAAAATTTAATGAATGCACAACAGAATGCATTCTACTGATCATGCTTGATGGAATATGGAAAGGAATTTTTGAGCAAACCAAATATATTGATGGAGTGATTAACAGAAACCCAGGTCCATATGGCAGCTTGAACAAATGAGAATATTTAAATATATTTTTATCACTTAGTTGACTGAAGTTTGCATTCAGTGATGGTCTGTTCTAAAAGCAGTTCAGGGTACTAAGTATGTTATTATACAGTATATATGTGTATGTATATAGGAAATAATAAAGATTTGTGATAATAAAACTATAAACCAGTAAAACAAGAAAGAAAATCAATGAAATGAAAAGTTGGTTTGTTGAGAACAATAATAAAAATGACAGAAGTTAAGATAAACTGAAATGAAGTGAAGAGAATAGATGTAAGTTACTGAAGTAAGAGATAAAAATGTGGACATTAGTGTGGACCATAGAAAAATGAACATAAGAGAATGTTACGAAACATTGTACGCCAACAAATTAGATAATCTAGTTATCTAATCTGTCTATCTATCTATATAGATAGATAGATAGAGAACTATGTACAGCTATATAGAGCTATACATAACAAGGAAAGCAAGGTACAAGCCAACAGGAATGTGGCATTAGATCTCTCGTGTTTGCACAATCACTCGCTACCCAAATATCACTCCAGATGGGTTCAAAGGTCATTACATTCCCCAAGAGATTGAGAAAAGAATTTGTGAGGAGTACAGCAGCTGTGTAATGGTTTTCCACGTATGATAGAGCTAAGATGGGAGCTGCTGAAGTTGAGATGAGTTCCTTCTGACCCCAGGAGACAGAATGTGGTCCGGAACTGCAAACACCATATGTGAATCACGTGGCCATCAGAGGCATTAATGTGATAAGCAGGACAGCCAGCTTATTCTTTCCAACACATTAAGCCACTGGGATCTTTGGAAAAGGCGACTGATCATGGTATTTGGGTGCATAAAATAGAATTTTCAAAGACCTAACAATCTATGTAAATATAAAAACTCTAGTTCGGGGTGCCTGGGTGGCTCAGTCAGTTAAGCAGCAGACTCTTGATTTTGGCTCAGGTCATGATCTCATGGTTCATGGGCTCGAGCCCCAAGTCATGCTCTGCACTGGCAGTATGGAGCCTTCTTGGGATTCCCTCTCTCCATCTCTCTCTGCCCCTTCCCCACTCTAGGTTTCTCTGTCTCTCTCAAAATAAATAAATACACTTAAAAGAAAAACAACTCTAGTTCCGAGGTGAGGAGGTTTGACATGAGTCACCCAAATGAAGAGTCACAATCTCTCACTTGATTGTCAGACCTGAGACTTTTCAGTGACCCAGGTCCCACCCCTGTTGAGGATGGACTATAAAACCGCCATGGATTATGATCAACATTTTCCTCCTAACCTTACCCAAAGGCAGTGACGTGAACCAGCAGGTTCCTAATGTTTCATGAGTGCCAGCTGTAATGCCATTCTGTTCCTGCCTTAGTGACAGCACATTGTTCACTTAATGGTCATAGAGGGACTATTTATTCCATAGAAATTGGCTTCCACTTGTTTCTCATTCTTTCATTCTTTCTATTTTTCTTTATGCCCTTCTTGCATCACTCCTTTGTTTCTCCCTCCCTTCTGTGCATTCTCTCTCTTTTTTTTCTTAGCAAGAGTTAACATTGACCAAAATGCTAGAATTCAAAAGACCTGTGGCCTTCTACCTGGAAAAGAGTGAACGGGGTAAAAAGGAAAATACTAAGATCATTTTTTTTTTTTGAAAACTGGATTCTGGCTCTAACACTAAAGCAAAATGCCATTGCAGCTTCCCAATCAAAGTGGTGGCATAAAGGTTGCGTGCTGAATGAAGGAGTTCACTTACTCTGTCTCACAAAGACCATGGCAAGTCCACAGATTTATTCTGTTATTCATACCCACTTTCTGAGATGCATGTTTAGAAATGACAAAGTTGGCCACTGACAGACAGAATACCCACCTTGCTTTTGTGATCTATAAATGAGGACTATTATGGTAGGAACTGACAAGGGATATATCCTGAGGATGGTCCCGCCTATCAAAACATTAGAAGAAAGCCAGTAATGCCTGCCGAGGGGAATCACATAGATCAGTGACAAAGTAATTGAAGAATCATGGGTTGTGATTTCTATTTTTATCTTCAATGAACTTCTGTTTTCAACTGTGTTGAAGAAAATTAGATCTTGGAGACTAAATATGAGTTGTTATAGACTTAATTTCATGTTGATTCCAGTTCCAGATATGACCTTTTCCTAGAGTGGTTAACATAAACCTTCATACTTGGTATGACTTGGGTATAACAAATTTCCTTTTTCCTAAAGCAGATAATCTAAGGGGGTAGATGCCTTCCCCTGGCAGGAATAACATCATACCCTCATTCCTTTGTCTTTTCCTGTCATTTAATATGCACCGAATTTCCTTTATGAAATATTTTATGGCAGGGTGCGTGGGTGGCTCAGTCAGTTAAGTGTCCAACTCTTGATTTGGTTCAGGTCAAGTTCTTACAATTTGTGGCATTGAGCCCCACTTCAGGCTCTGTGCTGATAGGATAGACGTGGCTTAGGATATTCCCTCAACCTCTCTGTCCCTCCACACCCATTCCTCCTCTCTTTCTCAAAATAAATAAATAAACACTAAAAATGACAGAAGAAATAGTTGCTCGTAATGTATGAAAAACTTCTATCAATCAAATACTGTAAAAAGATAAACTGCAGTTTGTCAATCTATGAACTGACACAAATATCATGATCTAGGTTTTCTAGGGTTTGGACCCCTGTTACTCAAGTCTTTATCCTGAAACAAAGAATCTTATGTGCTGAGAACGTCCCTCTGCTAAAGGGCTTTCCCAGGGCTTGCTTGATGTCTCTGTTCCTCAGGCCGTAGAGGAAGGGGTTCAGCATGGGTGTCACCACTGTGTACATGACTGAGGCTATGGCACTTGTCCTGGAGTTTTGTGCAGCAGCAGAACTCAGATACACCCCAAGGCTTGTACCATAGAACAAAGAGACCACTGAGAGGTGAGACCCACACGTGGAAAATGCTTTATACTTGCCCCTCACTGATGAAATTCTCAAAATGGAAGTGACAATTCTAGAGTAAGAGAACAGGATGCCAGTGAGTGGAACAACACCCAGAAGTCCACTTGTGAGATAGATCATCAGGTCATTGAGGAAGGTTTCAGAGCAAGCAAGTTGGATCACCTGATTAAGTTCACAGACAAAGTGAAGGATTTCCAGATCTGTGCAAAAAGAGAGTCGCAAAATCAGTAAGTCATGTAATAGAGAGTTAAAAATACTCAATACCCAGGATCCCAGGAGCAGGATGCCACAGAACTTGGAATTCATGATGACCATGTAGTGC